TTTTTTTTTTTTTTTTTTTTTTTTTTTTGAGACAGGGTTTCTTTGTGTAGCCTTGGCTGTCCTGGACTCACTCTGTAGACCAGGCTGGCCTTGAACTTGCAGAGACCTGCCTGCCTCTGCCTCCCGAGTGCTGGGATTAAAGGCCTGCGACAACACTGCCTGACATATATGTGCATTTTTAAAAGACATGAAAGCAAATGGGGGATTTAATAGGGAAGAAAAATGGGTTCATTTGGAGGGTGAAGAGAAGTAGAAAAGATAATGGGGATGAACATGACCAATACATTATACACATGTATGAAATAGCCAAAAAAAAGACCTTTAAAAATCCTTCACAGCCTGCCTGACCCTTGCTTGCTTTCCACTTTATATTCCTGTCACTTGTTTTCCACCACACTCTGATTTGCTACATAAAGTCTTCCATTCTACAAACTCCTTGTTCTTCTAGAACCAGAACCTTTGATTACTGCCTTGTCACCTGCTGAAGTCTCATCTTCTCTGCATAGTCTGCTTTATCACTTCTTGCTTTACGATTCTGTGTGTGTGTGTGTGTGTGTGTGTACATGTGTGTGGAGGCCAGGCGTTGATGTCCCTTATTTTATTCTATGTGGATGGGTGTTTCGCCTGCGTGTCTGTCTGTCTACCATGTGCATGCCTGGTGCCGTTGGAGGTCAGAAGGCATCAGATCACCTGAAACTAGAATTATGGAGTCGGGAATCACCAGGTGAGGTAAAATAGACCCTTTTATCCTCTGAGTTGTTTTTGTCAGGATATCTTAGAGTAACAGGAAAAGCCAAAACAAACAACAAAACAAGATGTCCTCTCCAAGGTTTTCAAAGGATTTGTGGGTTAAGCAATTTAAAATTATTTTATTAAAAACATTTTACAACACACAACAAACAGGCCAGAGAGGCAGCTCAGGAGGCAAGTGTGCTTGCTACACAATCATAAGGACCTGAGTTCAAGTCCCAGTACCTTAAGATCAATATGGGTATGCCTGTTATCCTAGCTCTGAGAGAAGCAGAGACAGGGGGATTCCTGGGACTTGCTGGCTTCCAGCCTAGCAGGGAAAACATGACTCCAGAAAACCTACCTCAAAAAGGAAAAGGCAGAGGTAATAGAGAAAACATGACAGTCTTATGGCCTCCATACACATCTGTATGTATTGAAGTATGTATACACACACACACAAGCATAAACATTTTAAATAAACAACAAAACAATCAAATAAACGGATCTAATTTTATAAATAAATAAGTTACCCAAAATATAAAATCATTTTTAAATGGCTACTCAAAAATATTACCAGGGTTAAGGGTGGAACTCATTGGTACAGCCCTTGTCTGAAGCCTTGGGTTCAATCGATAGTGTTCTCCCTCTAGGCAAGACACATTAGTCATCTCACAGGATGTAATTAAGAGTGACTTCAGCCGGAAAGGAAGGCTGTTAAGAGCAGGGTAAGAGGAGGCTGTCACTGGGCCGAGGAGGCAGCTTCTCCTTCGGATTGTTCTGCCTGGAGAGCTTGGCTACAGATCTGGTACCCACAAGCCTTCTGTCTAGCCTAGCCGCTCACACTCATCTCCACCCGTTTGCAGCGTGAGTTTGGATAATTTGGGTCTTGCTCAGGGACACCTGTGTGCCACTGTCACCCAGCTCAACCAGGGTCTTCTCCATGACTCGTGGTGAGGGATGTTTGCCTCTAGATGCCAAGAGCACATCGGAGGGGAGGAATCCACCCACCCGCTCTGAGGGGAAATGCGTGTATCGCCTGTGTTCTCTGCCGGCATTGCAAAAGCGGGTAATGTTGAACCAGAGGGGCGCCTAAAGGCCCCGTGACGAGGTGTTTGGTTTTGGTTTTACTTTGTTTGGTTTTGCTTTGTTTGGGAGGGCTTGACATTGGAGTGTGTAGCTCTGACCCTCCTGCCGCAGCCTCCTGACTTCTGTGTGATTACAGGTGAGTGTGTCACCACACTGAGCTTGGAGAGGAACTTAATTGTTATTTTACTTGACATCTTAGAAGGTTTGTTTTATGCACAGAGAGCATGTGTGTGTGATGGGTCTCGTTGTGGAAGGGTATACGCAGGCCACGGCTCAGGTGAAGTTAGAGGAGAGTCTGAGGAAGCTGTGTGGGTCCTGTGTACAGACCTCAGGTGTCAGCCTTGGCACAGGCTCCTTTATCTGCCAAGCCACATCTCCTGCCTACAAGGGAGTTGAACCGACATAAGCATTCTCCTTAAAAATGGGTTCATCAGTGCATTCTTTTTTTTTTTTTTTCTTCATAATTTTAATGATTTATTTATTTATTTTTGGGTTTGGAGTGTCTCGAGACAGGGTTTCTCTGTGTAGCCTTGGCTCTCCTGGACTTGCCTTGTAGACCAGGGTGACCTCAAACTCAAAGTTCCACCTGCCTCTGCCTCCCAGAGTGCTGGGATCACGGTGTGCGTCACCGCGCCCGGCTCTTAATGATATATTTTTATTTCAGGTACATTGGTGTTCTGCCTGCAGGCATATCTGCATGAGGGTATTGGATCCCCTACAACTGGAGTTACTGACAATTGTGAGAAACCATGTGGGTGCTGGGAATTGAACTCAGGTCCTCTGGAAGAGCAGCCAGTGCTCTTAACCGCTGAGCCATCTCTCCAGCCCCCCATCAGTGTGTTCTTGATGCTAGAGGACCTTTGAAGGCTAATTATTCCCTAAGATTCCCAGAGGCCCACGGAATGCCAGCTTCTCTGTCATCTCAGGGCCACAGGGAAGCCGTGGCTATAAAGAGAGATTCTGTGTTGTGAACCAGGGAGGCTAACACACCCAGGAAACAACGTCCTCCTTTTGTTTCCGGAGAGCAAGAGCATCGCCTGCAGCCTCTAAGGATACAGACAACCCTACCTGGGATGAGGACTGTGTGCAGCGGCATCACCTCCACGCCGTGTACCGGGTACCCGAAGGGGAGGTTGGGCGGAGCCAGCAGAGGTGGTGGGCGGGGCAGCCCTTCTCTTCAGGAGAAAACAAGCATGAAGGTCAGCGTACACCAAAACGCATTTAAAAAAAAAAAAAACACACCCTCATAAGCAACAACAAGGATCAGTGAAGTTACCGCCTGCGCGTACACATGCGTATGGTTTAAAATAAAAAAAAGTAAGTCTTAATGGAAGAATGTCTTCATTCCTGCCGGGCCTGTTATATTTGCCTGTTTCGTGAGGTGACACATGTCTGTATGGGAAACAAGTATCGTGGACAATGCAAGTAGGAATCAAGGTTCACATCCCGTTTAGAGCCAGCTAGTACTGCAGAAGCAGCATTTCTCTAAAACAGCGGTTTTTAACCTGTGGGTCCAATGACCCTTTCACAGGGGTTTTCTAAGACTATCGGAAAACACGGATACTTGTGTTACAATTCATCACGCTGGGAAAATTGCAGTTATGAAATGCCAATGAAAATAATTTTATGGTTGTGGGGGTCACAACGTTAGGACTAGGTTGAGAGCTACTGCTCTAAAACCTCTCGGCTCTTAGTTACTTTTAAAGGGGCTGTCACTGGCAACTCCATCTTGTTGGTTTGAGACAAGGTCTTGCCATGAGGCCTAGGCTGGCCTTAAAGCTTACAATCCTCCTGCTTCAGCTTCCCACGTGCTGGGATGACAGACAGGCGCCAGCAGGCTCGGCATATGTCAAATCCCCTTGAATAAAAGCCAGCCAGATCCTATTTGAATTCCTTCTTCAACCAACAATTTTGGTATCGACCCTTGGTTTGATTCCCAGCGCAGCAGGAAAAGAACTGGGGTAGGGGGGAGATAGATAGTGGCTCAGAGGTCAAGTGTTTGCCTGGCTTCTAGGAGGGCTGTCAGCTGACAGACAATATGCTCCCAGCACATACAATCACCTTCTGTGCTGGCCCCAGGCACCTGGTGGCTGTGTCACCACCATCGCCGAGCAGTGTGGAGCCCCCCGTTCCTTTTTCTCTATTGGTTTTATTGAAAGGTTTTATGTGCACAAAACCCCACAACTCCTCCTTGGGGAGTACTGCTCTCCATCGTCTTCCTCTGTTTATTCCCAGTAGTTCCTGCCAGGGCCCCCTGGATGAGGATGAGGTCCAGACTTTTTCCTTAGGGTCCCTCACTCTCTCAAAGCACTCCAGTGTTTGCTCGCTCTCTTGCTCTCTCACTCTCTCTCTCTCTCTCTCTCTCTCTCTCTCTCCCCAGAGACCCAAGAGCTCCCTCGGCCTGTGTCACCTCCTCTGAAAGTGTTCAAATTCCGCCTGTCTCCTGGCATTCACGGCTGGGAGGTCATTCTGGTTATAGGCATCCTGAAAATTATATTTTCTTTGCAGGTGGCCGGAGTCACAGTCGCACTGATTCTTAGGGAAGAGCCTAGAGCAAGAGAGAGAAGCGCATACACTCAGATGGCTGATGGCTAATGTTACGCGTTACTCACCCTGAAAATCTCCTATACCACATGGCTGTCCTAACTGGGCTGACACCCTGGAACCACCCAGCAGTGACCCCTCAGAGAGACGAAGGAGGGAGGTGAGGAGGGAGGACCAAGGGAGGAACTAAAGACCCTTCCCTCTTTCTTTTCCTTTTCCCTTTTGACATAAGATCTTGTCTGTGTGGCCCAGCCTGGCCTCATACTCATGACAGTCTCCCTGCCTCAGCCTCCTGAGTGCACCACCATGCCCAACAGCCCTCTCTTGAATTATCCCCTCAAACCCAACAGCCACAGGCATGCAGCTAGCTCCACCAGGACGCACGCCAGGAGCAGCTTGGCCTCCAATGAGGCTGTAAGGTTGCTGGGCGCTGCAGGGGACAGAGACTGGGTCCCACAGACTGGTCTCTTAGACTCACTTTAGCAATCAGCACCTGTTCAGAACTGTCTACAGGGTCTAGGGCCCCATGAAGGAGCAGGGAGGAGACATGGAGGAAGCCTACGATGAAGCCGGAACACCCAGTCTCACCAGATGCCACTGTAGGTAAAGAGCTCCCTCAGCTGTGCCTCTGGTAGAAGTCTCAGCACTGGGTCCCACGCAGGCTTCGGGATCTCTGGCTTGAACATGTTGAAGTTGGCCTGAAGGGACACACTTACGAACATCAACAGAACGATAACGAGTCCCAGGATGGTGACTGACAGCTTGAGGAGCCACAGAAACCTGGAGCTGGCAAAACACACAGAGAGAAAGCAAAATGCATTTAAGATCTTTGATCCTGAGGGGCTGGGGAGGTAGTTAGCTCAGAGAGTAAAGCCGCATGTGAGGGCCTGAGTTCAGTTCCCGGCACTCATGTAATAAAGCTGGGTAAGAACTGGTAGAGGGTTCAGTGGGTAAAAGCACTTCCATGTACACCAGGGCACGATGCGGTTCCTGGAACCCATGCTAGAAGGGCAGTTCCAGCTCCCACAACCTGTCCCCCAACATCTAACCCGAGCCATGGCATTCACACGTGTACACCCACACACACTCAATAATACAAGTTTGTTTGGTTTTTCTGATTGAGACAGGTCCCACCATACAGCCCTGGCTGGCCTGGAGTTCACAATGTAGATCATGCTGGCGTTGATTTCACAGGGCTCTGCCTGCCTCTGCCTCTTAGGCTGGGATTAAAGGCGGCGCGCTCAATTACTCTTGGCTTAATAATTTTTTTCGAGTTGGGTGTGATGTTACAACATGCTTGTAACCCCAAGGTGAACAGGAAGACGATGGGGGCTCACTGGCCAGCCAGTGTAGCCTAGTGGTGAACTCCAGGCCAATAAAAGATTGTCCTTCCTTCCTTCCTTCCTTCCTTCCTTCCTTCCTTCCTTCCTTCCTTCCTTCCTTCCCTCCCTCCTTCCCTCCCTCCCTCGTTTTTGGTTCTGCAAGACAGGGTTTCTCCACGTAACTGTGTCCTAGAATTCACTCTGTAGACCAGGCTGGCCTTGAACTCCCAGAAATCCACCTGCCTCTGCCTCCACCCCTGGGATTAAGGGTATATGCCATCACTACCTGGCAGAGACTCTGCCTTAAAGAAGGTGAAGTATTTCTAAGGACAACTCAAAAACAAAGAAGAATCAAGGGTCAACAAAGGACTCAGAAAGATCCCAAATGAAGGGATGGGCAAAAGGGTGTGTGTGTGTGTGTGTGTGTGTGTGTGTGTGTGTGTGTGTGTGTTTGGAGCTAAAGCTCATGTATCAGCACTTTTTCGTCAAAGTGATTAAATGACTTGCAGAAAGCATCTGAAGTAGGGGCTCACTTGGCCCCATGATTTAAGAAGCTCAGGCAGTCACTGCAAAGAAGGCCCCAAGGGGGCCCCTCACATCACAGCCAAACAGGAAGCTGGGAGAGGGGAAGTCCAGCCCAAGGGACAGTAGCACCTACATTCAGTTCAGGTCTTTCTGTCTGTGACCTGACCTTCCTCCTAGGGCGGCGAGGACAAACACCTGTTCACTCTAAACAGAGAACGGTCCCACCAAAATCCAACTTGGTGAACCCATGAATTTATCGGGGATATGGGCGAGTGGTTTCTCACAGGAGAAAAAACAACCCGAAGACAGCTGCATTACCAAAAGCTGACCAACCCCAACGTGACTCATGACGGCTGCAGCTATCTGCAGAACTCCCCGGCTGCTTTCCCCCCAGGGTGAAAAGTCTCCTCTAAGGCTGCTGGAAAAGCATGTATCCCAGCAACCGCTTTATAGTCTCAGGGCGGACCCGGCGCTAGCTTACAGGCGGTTTCAGCTGGCCTGCCTTTAGGGCGCCAACGATTGCTTAGATCTTCACCTGCCTCTGCCAGGTGCACCAGGTGCATGCAGGGTGTAAGGGCCCTCACCACCCCAACTCTCTCTACCCTCTGTTTCAGCTCCCTCTCTACCCTCTGTTTCAGCCCCCTTTCTCTCGCTCCCTGCCCCCTCTCTCTGCCCTCGTGGCTCACTTGCTTGCCTCTACACCTCCTCCAGCCCTTCCTCTCCCTTCCCCCAATAAATTTCCATATACCAGACCTGTTGCTTGGCATGATTCCTCAAGGGGTGCCCCTTGGCATGGGCCCTCCCTGATACCCCTCGTTGCATCGTCGCTATGGATCATAGCATTGGTGCCATGACCTCGGTGGGCTCTCCTGGTGTCTAAACACACTGGGATCCCTTGTGTAGCTACGCCCCACCAGCCACAGATTTGCTTTCTGGTCCACTGATCAGTAGGCGCTCCACCCAACAAGGACAAATTGGTGAATTCTCTAAACGGTTTCTCTGTGTCTGACCATTTCCCTGGATGAAACTTTGTTTTTCCAGCACGTTTTCTCCTCCTCCTCCCCCTCCCCTGTTTCATTCTGTCTGGTCTCTCTCCCCCATGCTATCTGTATAAATGTCTCTAAGTATGCAACACGTTGGAGCCAGGGGACAACAGGGACGGCACTGCACACACACACACACCCCTTTTCTGCTGTAGGGCCACATCTGAGGTGTGGATCATCTGTCTGTGAATCTGATTCCAAATTCTAGCTAAAGCCCGACTTCTCCACGTGGCTCTAGCCTTGGGCCTGCCCGCGTGGACCGGCTTGCCCCTCTCTTAGCTGGCCTGCAGGAAGCCAAGCGCTCTCCCCTCTCCCTTCCTGGACTAGCAATTGGCACACCCAGTTTCCAAATTCACCGCCAAGGACAAATGACTCCTAAATATCTAAGTTTGCTGGGCTCTAAGTTCCCAAAGGCTCTTATCTCCAAGGCTCTTCTCCCCAACTCTTAAAAAAACTTATCTCTCTCATTTCTTTGTACTTACTCTGCTCTCAAAAGAAAAAAATAAAATCTTAAGATTCTGCTATAAACTCTTATCTGAGGATTTATAATTTGCTCATTGGGTATAGTTAAAAATCTATATAATCTACAGCAATGTTTGACTTTAAACTTAAAACAAAAGGCTTATAATTTAAAATCTCTATATAAGTATATATATGATTCAATTCTTGTTTAGGGCATATCTATGTGTATAAAACGCTAATTCAACTATGTGTATATATACACATGTAACTTGAACTCAACTCTCATTTAAGGATATATACACAAATGTTTTCAATAGCAACGATATCAACCACATACACAGCTTGCGATCTGCCGTATGTCTTCGCCAGCTTAAGATGACATACAGCAACATTTATAAAGCTTTTTAGTCCAGCCAGGTGGTGCAGTGGCACACGCCTGTGATCCCAACACTTAGGGCAGGCAGATCTCTGTGAGTTCAAGGCCAGCCCGGGTCTACAAGGTGTCTCAAACAAAAACAAACACAAACAAAAAAACCCAACCGAACAAATATGTTTAGCCTTGATTTTGCTCATTTTATTCAGCTACAGTACAGCTTTAGATTTTTATAAGCTATAGACTTTTCATAAACTAAATCATATGGGAAACTTATTTTCCATAGGTCAGAAAAGTTCCCAACCTCTTCATGGACTATAAATACGGAATGAAAAGTTTAATTTTGATACTGAAGAGCTCCAATTCAGAATCATGAACTTTAGGGCTGTAAACTTAACAGGGATAGACCCTAAGTCTCCAATTCAGAATCATAAACTTTAGGGCTCTAAACTTAACAGGAATAGACCCTAAGTCGCAGTCCTTAATGATAATCAAGAAATGCGAGTTAATAGTTACCTTACCAGTGATCAAAACCTTTAGTGTGCTCAGAAATGCGTGTGTAGTCATGAGAAGGGCTAATGTGATTAATTACGAGATTAAACTTTATTTGGACTCCTGTATTTGTTTTCAAAGTTAAGCAGAGAGCAACTAGAAACAAGCAAAGTTTGCCTAGTTAGCCCTGCTTCGGGCAGACACATGGTCCTCAGACATCTCAGAGATCTACAGAACATGGCATTTAAAATGCTTATTTTAAAAAGCTCTCCGGGACTGACAGGCCAGCTCCTGACAGCACCTCCAATCTCCTCCAAAGAGGAGGATGGGCACAGAAGAAACTCCACCCGAAACTGGCTTTAAACGTGGCGAAGCTGGCCCCTGGGCTGTAGGCTGCCCTTTGTCTCACCTGCCATCAGCATGCTGTCCAAACTATGGACAGGCGGGACACCGGGGAGTTGGCTATTTTCCTTAAACAAATGTACGACAGCACCTCCAAGTTCCTGCTTTACAGAAAAGTCTGTCAGGTCTCCTGGGACTAGTGGCCGAAGATGGGCGCCCAACAGGCACAGAGGAACCTTGGGTGACTGTTCAGGTAGCTGGTAGGCCTGTCATTTTTTTTTTTTTTTTAGAGACTCTTTACAGAAGTTTCTGTGATAGACATACCAGCTCCTGGCATCAAACCTAACGTCATCCCTAATCTCCTCCAGACGACCTTCGGCACACAGGAGACTAGCTTTCAATGTGGCAAAGCTCACCACAGGAAGTGTTTTGGTCTGCGCTCCCTGCTGGCTCAGGTGAAATTCACCCTTCTTGGGTCCCAGAGATCCGCCTACCTCTGCCTCCGGAACGTTGGGATTAAAGGCCTGCACCACCGCCGCCCGGATTAAATACACACTTTCAATTGCAAAACATAAAATTAACAAATTAAGCCTGCACAGCAACCGCAGTCCTGGGCTGGAGAGACGCTCAGTGGCTTAAAGGGTCCCGATGCTCTCAAAGCGTTCGGTCCCCAGCACAGTTCCAACTCCAGTTCTGGAAGGTCTGGCCTGATACCCTCACGTGGCCTTCTCGGGCACCTGCACACACGGGGTTCACATACAGATACTCATAGTGCATACATGTAAAAGCCTCTAACCCCAGCGCTCCCAAGGCAGGGGCAGGCAGATCTCCAGGGCCAAGGCCAGCCTGTCGTACGAAGTGAGTTCCTGAACACCCAGGGCTACAGAGAAAAATCTTCTCTTGAAAATAAAAAAGCAAACAAGCAAACTAGGTATAACTACATTCTAGGCAGAGCTTTTGAAGAGCTGATGATTTTAAAGCGCAGTTATTGATCCAGGGATCAACAAGTACGTTGAATGAGTCCACTGCTAGAAATGCTCGAGTTTTTTTTTTTTTAAATGGGGAATTTTCACTCCCTTTATTATGCATTCTTTCTAACATCTGAACACATTCAGTTAAACCAATCAAGTTACAGAAAACTCTCCTAGAAAATGAGACCTTTATTTTCTTCATCAACTCCTTAGGCTCTTAAAAACTATTTATTTGTTTATTCATTTATTTTGGATA